CTGCTCCACTAGGAGATAAGAGGCAGAGTAGGGGCACAAGGAGCGGGAGAAGGAGGATGTGCAAAGAGATTAGAGGTTATAAATGCCCTCGGACATATGAAGAGCTTCCAAAGGGATCTGTGCCTTATGAGACACAGTGGAAAGAAATCTTTATTGGAAAATTGATTCTCGGGCAGAGACCTTGACTCAAGCTTTTGTCTCCATTAGGGTTTTTTTTAAGGCATTCCTTCCTATAGATTCTCTGCTGCCTAAGGAGCAAACTTCTACAGCAGCCTCTTCTTTAGGGTTCTTATTGGAAAGCAATGATCTTAAGATCTTTACTGTCACTTAAAAATAGCTGAAATTGATCAATGGTTCCTAAGAAATTAGAACAGAGCAAAAGAACCTGATCACACAAGTCGTCTCTCCTTAGGACATCAATTAGGAATTTCAATGGGGAATACTTCTAATTTAACAATCCATTCCCTGGTGAACATCACAAAACCCAAAAGAAAGAGGCAGCATCCTTGTCCTTTACTTGCTTGCCATATTTAATTATTTATTTATTTGAGTATTTTGTAAGTCCTGTGGCTAAGGCACTTAAATGTAATGCAGCTTCAGATACCTCATAATTTGTGGTTCTTTGCTAGATTTTCCCTAGAAATATTCACTAACTCGCCTTGTCACTCATTCTTGCCCTGTTCAGCTCTTCAAATATAATTGAGCAGTCTTTTTTGTGAGTGTTGTTTAAAGATGATTAGGACCTTTACTTCAATTTTTACTCTGTTAAAAAATGCCCAAAACAAATTATCTCAAAGTAATATTTAAAAAAAATAAAAATTATTTCAGCACCTCAGCCAAACGTATGCCTTACTAAAGTTTTACAATTTCTGTCCTAAAGAAGGGGAGGCCACATGAATATATTCCCCAAAATATGCCACTATTTCACCATTCACAAATGTGCTTGTTCTACCATTGCTCATCTTTTGGTTTATCTGACCCTCTTGCCCAGCCTGCAAGTTAGTGAAGTCAGCTATGCTTGAATAGGAAGGAAACTTATGCAGAAAAAAAAAAATAGATAAATAATTAGCATATACTTTATGTAAATAAATGGAAAAATGCTCAGAAATGTCACTGTTCAACTAATGTGTGAATTCTCATAGAAATATTCTGCATTCTAGAAGTTTGTCATCAGGTCAAAAATTGCACATATGTACTTATTTAATATATCCAAAGGTTTGTTTGACCTATTTCACTTCTTAATGAATAAACCATTTTTGTCCTCTTAGTCATTTTATGTGTGCTATCTTTGTAAGTACATGAACAAACAATAATGGGGACAAATCCCAGAAGCTGAAAATAGATGCAACTTCACAGCATCAGCAATCAGTATTCTAAGAAGACTTTCTAAATTTAGGACAAAAAAACCCCCACACATATAAAAAATAATTTTGAGCTTTGTATCATTATCTTGCTATAAGATCTCCTTAGTCTCATCAAAAAATAAAACAAACAAAAGCAACTGATCTTTGAAGATCTGATGACAAAATTTGAATGTCATTGTCTCAGACCATGCCTATTGTAGCTGCCTGTATKTGCGCGCTAAAAATCAATTTATATTTAAAAAGAGTACAGACTAATTAAAATCTTTCTGGAAACAGCTGGTGGATAAATACTTATGGTAAAATTGAATAATTAAAATTTCATTTACTGCATATATATGTATGTGTGGGTGAGGTTTATCTGGAAAATCTCCGAAAGCTTATGATGAGAATCTAAAAATAATCTTAATACTGTTACATTATTTGGGAAGTAAATTGTGGATCATTTAGCCAAATAAACACTTAGCAATTTTACCAACTTTAATGGGATTTGATAATACAGATGCCAAGGACATTTGAATAAATATATRTGTCTGCTACTCTACAGTTGCCTAAAAGACAAAATGTTACGGTCACTAAACCTTTTATTTCTATTCTTCAGATGCTGTTGAGGCACGTTTTGACACAGTAATTACTTACATGATAGATAACCCAAGATCTGTAATTCACTTCAGGGGCTCAGGTCATTTCATGAATGGCAAAAATACAGTKCATTATTTTATGCATAATGTAGAGCTTATTTATATTTAATGTTAACATTATTTTTATATGAGAAGCACTTTCCCATTCATAATATTGTTTATACTGTGCAGGTTGTCATTTTGAGTTGAAAGTATATATGTTTCACTAGAAAATGTTGGCTATTTTTGAAGATCTTTATTTCATTCCCTTCCTTCCTTTCCTTTCTCTCTTAACAGATAAGTAGCTTGGTGTTAATATAATGGAAACAGGTCATTCTTGGCAAATTTGCCTATTAATAATTATCAATATAATCTTGCTTTGATGTCAAGATTAAAAATTTTTACACAAATACAATATTATTTTTAATTCAGTGTATGGCTAAAGTTAATCTTAAGGTCAAGAATTTCAACATACTAAAAACAGTAAGATCTCATCAATTCAACTACTTCAACACTGCTTAGTGGAAACCATATATTTAGGTCACTTTGGGTAGTTGTTGTATCACCTGCCTCAGAGGAGGAGTGAGGAATCCTGTGTACAGGGAAGATAAAAGCACATAGAATATTCATCTCTCAGGGTATTGTGAGGATTTTTATCTGTAATGTTTATTAAAGCTCACAGAAGGGGTATGTGTAAATCTGGGTATTGAGCTAGGAATGCCCACTGCAATCAGCTTTCCAAAAAATGTCTCTTGGTAGAGAGTTCTGCAAGCCTTTAGAAGTTAGACTCTGGATTWTACTTTCCATGAAGAATGATATTGACCTGCATAATATCCCTTTTAATTCTTTTGCTTTATTTGCAACATTTTAGCAGTGATCGCTTTTGAGAAAGAAAATGTATTTATGCTGCTCCTGGCCCGGTGTTGGGGCAGAGCATCTCCTGCAGGTCACGCAGCCCTGGGCACCTTGCTACTCTCGTGCCCGGACTGGAGCTGCCTTTTAGCTGCAGGGAACAAGTTAACAGTGACTTTGTTACAGGCACCACAGAAGGAGGAATTTGCTAGATTCGAGCAGGCTGGCAAACCTTTCATAAATCCTACAGCAGCTGTCACCTTCCGTTTCCTCAAGCGAGTGGTCACCTCCTTGCCTTGGACACCAGAACTTCCTCAAGGGAAGCGGGCTCCACACTGCTTTGAGGGAGATGAGATTTCAGCCCTCTTCCTTTCCCCCTCAAGGATGCTGGCGGATAGAGCTCAGGGTTATTTTTTCTCATCAAAAGGGAGGTGATACCCTCTTTCAGGTGGATTCTCCATCCACAGCTGAGCACCGCTCATGGTGGCCCCGTGCCAGGAGGTTCGTGTTGGCAGAGGAGGATGCAGGCACACCTTACTTTATAAGCCACTTTTGAGTTCACTAACTACTGCTTCCATYGTGTCCACAGAAGCACTTCTGTGAGCAATTTCCCCCCCACATCCTTTTAGCAGGCAGAAGAGAAACAGCTGGGAGCGCTGAAAGTCAGCCGTGAGTGAAGAAGCCTGCCTCGTGGATCTGGCTGCTGCTACAGACCTCTGTCTGTAACAGGGGGCCATATGGCTCCCTGCTCCAGCAGATCTGGAAATGTAGCTTCAGAATTCTTCACAGTTTCCAAAAGGATGGGGAAAACAAGATTCTTTTATTTAATTTATATAACGGTTCTATGAATGTTTTTATTTTATCTATATATTTGTGTATGTAGGTATATGTATATGTTACCTAAACAGCATGCAGTGATCTGGTCGGCACAGAAGTGTGTAGTCGTGGCACCATAGGATCACCCTTCCAAGCCATTAGCAGAGCCCTATAATCATCTCTATGGACTTAGTCTCTTTTCTGTGTAAATATTTTTCCTGTCTTTCTCTTTGCAAAGTTGTTTGCAGGCTCTTTGTAGAATACAAACTCCTGCGAAGAAAATGCCCTTGAAGCAGTATGTGTAGAGTGATTGCTAGATAGAGGACATGCTAATAACATCTTGAGAGGATCACTATTACTTTGCAGTGGAGGCATTTTCATTAAAAAAAAAAAAAAAAAAGACAAGAAATCTTACCCTATTCCTTGGATTGATTTTCCCCATTTTGTATATTTCAGATTAGTCAACAGTCAATGGTGGCTGGTTCATTGTTAAAAAGCTCCAAGGAATTTGCATCCTGAAGTAGTGTCTTTTCCCGTGATTGCCTCTCAGGAACTTTTGTACAGCACCAGACAATAGAAAAGACAAATGACCAGTACAAGAGAACTTAAATCTGACAGTAGTCCTAACGCACAGAGTTAGTGAAATGACTGGTAAAACAATTTTACACCTGTTAACAGCTTGCTCCCTTTGGGTTAATCGAGTAGTAAATTTGTATAATAAATAGTAAAATTTGTAAACTAACCATAGTGAATTTGCAAACTAACACTCAAGATTCAGTGATGTTCCTCTAGGTTGCCCGGTACCTTTATCTGACCAAATTCATGCAGACTCAGCCATCTTCAGAGGGAACTTGGCGAGGCTGCACTTTATCTGCCTTTTTATTTCTGGTGCAATAGGATGGGAAAGAGAGGAAGAGAATGTATAAGGGTTCCCTACTGAGAATCAGTTCTATAAATTATGTATTATGCAGGCACTATTCTGCTGATGCTATCTGATCCCCAATTCTCAGTTCCTTGTTTTTGCTTCTATAAATAGCTATGGCCAGGTTTTCAGTTGTAAAGTGACGAGGACAAAACCTGAAACCTTTTCCATTTAATAACCTCTGCCAAGGAAGAATAAGGTAATATTTTTCATAACTGTGATGTCCTCAGGGCTTGAACAGTCTGGGAATACAAGCAGCACTATGTTGTTGATAAGATACTAGTAGCAAAAGTGGGAATAGCCATGCTGAATATTAAAGATGAAAATGCCCTGTTTTCAGGATGATCAGTATAAAACTYGGTATTGTGAATTTTCTTGTCAATTTTTGTCTGTGTAGGACCACTTTTGTTTTTTTGTTTCTCCCTCTAGATCCGAATGCTTTTGCTGGAAAGACCGGTCCTGATCACGCTCTTATAGGAGGAATAGTGGCTGTAGTGGTCTTTGTAACACTATGTTCTATAATTCTGCTTGGTCGATACCTGGCAAGACATAAAGGTAGGAAAGATTTGGTCGAAGTTTACTCCCCTTTGGAAGCGAGGTGTAATTTCACGTTGGAGTGCATTTGTCTTTCACCTTTCCTCATCTGCTAAGTAATTGGGACAGCACAGATCATTTCACAGTCTGGTTGTGAGCGAAGTCCCTGATTTTCTGTCAGTTTTACAGTGGCACGTTTACTGACTACGGCAAAGGATAGTTGCTAGTTACGTGCCCATGGCCCACTGGCAAAGAGCCAGTGATTTAGAGAGGCTGAAAGGATTCTAGCCCTTGACTTTCTATTTAATTACCTAATTACATGGCCTCATAATTTTAAGTAATATATCAACTAAGCACAATTGAGTAAACAATTGAGTAAACAAGACAGTCAATTGCCATAAATTGTGTTAATACTTTCAATATGCCTTTAAAAGATAATGTTAAATACTGATGGTGGGTTTTCAAATTACTGTCACTTCTACTAATGATTCCACTGGGATAAGGATTTAATTCATGGGTCAAGTTTATCCTTATTCATATGTTTCACCTTAGGAATTCTACTCCCTTCATTTTGAATCCTCTCCACCTTTAGGGATAACAGAGGTGGAGTGATGCTGACTGACTAAGCCTCTGTATGATCTTATTTTGACCCAGTTAATTCCAAAATAATTTCCAGAGATTTAACCTCTGAATGACTTGTAGACCAGTTGTTAAATTACTTGATTCCCCCTCCTCASTCCTGGAAAAAGTGAGAGAGGGATTCCTGTAATTCATTAAATCTCATTTTCAGTAGAATAATCTTGTGGCTATCAGCCAGAATCTGATTAATGTATTTTTTGATGTAGGGTTTTTTTTTTTTTTAATTTGAATAGGACTGTGTAAGGAAGAAAATAGGGTTTTTTATTAATGAACTAATGAAAATGTGTCTCTTTTGCTTTTCCTCATGAATGCTAACATATGCATCTTATGCCAATGCAAATAATGCTTTTCAGAAAGTTAAAATGGGCTGTKGTACACAGTTCGTTTTATCCATATCCTGGAATTACATAACGTGGCTTTAAAAGTGTCTGTGAGAGTGTATTATGAGTGAATTCAGGTAATGAARCTACCTCTATCTTGTAATTCTGGGAAATGACTAAGATACAATTCTGTGAAATTAAAGTATAGATAAGATCGCTAAAATAGAAAGACAAAAACAATTAGCAGTATTTTTTTTTAATACCCTTAATGAAAATCTGAATCTTCAAAGATGGTTTGTTTTTATGGCTAGATATATCATGAAATATCCAAAACCTTGTCACTTATTCTATAATTGCATGTTGCAGCATTTAGATAGAGTGGATTTGTCTCATGATATTTTTGTCATTTGTCATGAATATATGTGAATCAGCGATAATGTGCTTTATCAGTTTTTATACCATAAATATTTATTGACTAAATTCCAAAGTTGTTTATAACAGCATCATCCATACTGCAACTTTTTAAAGTTACATATTACTCCATTCATGAAGTAATAAACAGCGCTGTTGGAAATTTTGCACCACTTTATACAATACAATGTAAAATATATATATATATATATTCTTTTTCTGTTGTACTGCTTCCTTATAGGAACTTATTTAACAAATGAAGCAAAAGGAGCTGAAGATGCACCGGATGCCGACACAGCCATTATCAATGCAGAAGGCAGTCAAGTCAATGCAGAGGAGAAAAAGGAGTATTTCATTTAGATGCAGAGCTAGAGTCTTGGAGTTTTACTATCAGGCTGACTGCTGGAGAAAACTGGCTATCATTTTTCAGAATTCATTTCTGCCATCTTCTGCTATCTTTATTAACTCACATTCCTGCTATAAGTAGCCAGTTTATGCCAACAATCAGCTGTTGACAATATCATTCTATAATTACAGTATCATGCATAATGCAGGACATTTCTTATTGCCTAAATTCATATCCACTGCTCTCTTAACATACAGTGCTTGAATATACAGCCTTAACAATGTTAATCATTATCGTAATCCAAGTTTTCTACATTTTTAAACGTGTGCAGCTTTCTTCCTCTTCTGTTTTCTTTTGTCATGCTCCATATCAGTATGTCATAGAGTATTCATAATAAATGCTGTTAGGTAAGGACTTAATTTACTTACATAAAAAAAAAGAAGTCTAAGATTAGAGGTTTACAAAGAATGTTTTATACATGTCTAATAATTCAAAAAGCRACTTGTTTTGAGACATATGCCCTAGGAAAACATAACTGGAAGTTTTGTAGTATAGTTTCTTGTATGCTTGAGCTTGTTGGAAAAGAAGTATCAGTCCGCTTTTATTTTATTTTATTTTATTTTGTTTTGTTTTGTTACATTTTAAATGGTACCTTGACAACAGTGCCATGTTTCAGTGATACAAAAAAAATACTATAAAAACAGCTATACAGATTCTGCAAAGTTAGATAGTAGTGCTTCATTTGAAATAAATTAGTTCTGCCCTTTATTGCCTTTTTGGGATCATGAAGGATTAAGAGTCTTTTTGAGTAATTTTTGTTTTTATAATTTATTTGCTTCACATGGACTCACCTGTCTACTCAAATTTGAAGTGTTCATGGGGCACAGCTGCAAAGCATTTTAGTATCTGTATATAGTGCATATAATAAATTCAATTAAACATTATTTGATACATATTTAACTTTTTTGGCAGTAGCTAAGTCAGTCACAAGTGAGCATTTTCTAATTTCCATTATATCCCTTTAGATATATGACTCAAATCAATATTCTGAATAGATAACATGTGTATTAGGTTTTTTTGTTTGTTTGTTTGTTTGGGGTTTTTTTTTTTTTGGTCTGTATGTCCTAGCACTGTTCCGCAGCAAACTTTTCTAGTTCTTGTTAGTTTTTTTCCTTGTTATATAATGGAAGCACAATGTTATATGGAAAGGTAGTTTTAAGCTAACAACCAGTGCACAGCCTCAGGTTTTAAATTACAACCACATTTGATTACTATCCTTATAAAATATTGTTAAGTTGCTAAAATTCTCAATTTTTAATTTGGCAGTTCCAGAGCTGCTTCTCTATGTTGGTTTGCCAAAAAAAAGAGAAAAAAAAAAAAAAAGAGAAAAAAAAAATAGAAGTGTTAAAACAAAAGATATATGTTTTGTGTATACAGTAAATGGACTAATTCTTTATATTAAATTCCTGTCTATGCATTTTGTGAGGTACAAACTTATGTCACCGTGAACAATAGAGAATTCCTGCCATGCTTTTAGCTTCACAGTGAAAGTCTCTTGTTTGAAATTATTTCTGAATTCTTTTTTGTGTAATTGAAAACTGAACAATCACATGCTCTTAAATACAACAACAAAACACTGTAAGCCCATTGGCTTACTTCCTCTTCCAATGAAATAAAAAAGTTGCCATATCAGCTCTTGGTAATGATTCTGCACTGGAGGATGCAAAATAGCCTAGATGGAGTTTGCCTCCTCCTAAGTTTTGCACCTTTAGCAAAAGAGTATTTCTCTCTAGTTGCTATACTTGTGAGGCCTAAAAGYATGATGGTCTGCTAAAAAAGACTTTCCTGGGATTTTATTTTTGTGTGGGGAAGGGAGAGTTTGGAATATGACATCATGTAGTATGGTTAAAATGGAAGATAAAGGTGCTGTGTCAGATTATTTATCAAAGAGTATAAATCTCTTAAGGACAATACTAGAGTATTTTAAATGTTTTTGTTGAAACATTTATCATGTTAATTTCTAAGAAAAAAGGGTGACGTCAATCAAAGCAGCACTTTTTTTCAAACTATACAGACATAAATAATATGATGTGGTTGAGTGTTAACATAATAAATCATATACAGTAYGACATTTTAAAGGAATAAGTCTGCATTGATGTGATTGCATGCTTGTTTTTACAGTTCACTCCATACCCATCTGTGGAAAAATGCAATAATATGTTAATATAGTATGGTAGTTTGAGAGAACCAGGTAGGTGCTACTAGACACATTGAAAACTAGTATAGGTTTACAAGATATTCATGTATTTCAAAGTATATGCTTATAAAAAGGCTGGCAAAAGAAATCATTCAACTTAGTACCAAAAATGTAGGTTCTTATCAAATGTAGGTTCTTATCAAAACCGCAAGTTGCATTAACTACAGKACAATACCAGATACTACCAGGTTTTATTTCAGGACATGAGGCCCAGTTCACCTAAGCATTTGAGCACATGCTTAGCTCCAGGCGTGGGAGAAGTTCCATTGGACGATAAGGCTGTATTCATATGCTTAAAAATAAGTGCTTCCCTGGACCAGGGCCTTACTCGCTCAAGTGAAACTTCTCACTCGTGTTTTGGGCCTTCTTTTCATTCTTCGTAACTCCTTCTTGCTCGAATACCAGGGCTCCTAAATGGGTAGGGTTCTTACTTGAACCATTGACAAACAAGTTGGACTTTCAAAAGCAGGATCACCCTTAGGGGTCCCCATCTTAAGGCATTTTCTCCTGTGGCATAAGGGCAGCATTGAAACTTGCAAAAGCAGATGTAAGTTGGACTGTTAAGCTAGATTATTTCATTGGTTTCAGTTGAACCAAAACTTTTTACGTGTGCTCATTTTTAATGCAGTTGATCTTCCATGAGCTTGCACCGTGAGACGTCACTCACATCTGTGCAAAGTAGGTGTAAAAACACCACAACAAGCCTTCACAGATGGCAAATTCTATCTGGGTTGCACTTTACATGCCTATCTAGTCTTCACAGGTTTAAATTACTATACAAGGTGCAAAGAGGCATCTGTCTTTTTCGTAAGCAGGACCATGACTCAAAGCTAATGATGCTCAGTAGGCTAAAAAACAGTTGTCTGTTTCCTTTACCCAAGACCCCGCTCTGAAATATCAAGTTCATTCCCATTTCAAGAAATCCAGCAAATGTGTAAAAGGAGGCTCTGAATGAGAACTGTGTTAGTTAAAATGTTTGTGACATCCTCTCCCATATATACATGCAGAGTAGTTTTCTCAAGACAAGGTAGCTAATTTCTGCCAGTGTACTGTTTACAGTGTCGATTGCTGATTATTTTTAAACTTTTAGATGTAGAATGATTTTTTTATGCTTCAAGAACATTTTCATGATTTAACGAAGAAAGCAGTGCTTCAGAAGACACAGGGTGTATCCTCCCACTCTTTTAGTGTCATCAGACAAATCAAGAAACAGTTTAAGGAACCTGATGCTTAACTTGAGGCTCAGAATTTAGGCTACAACACTTTAAAAAGAAGTTTTCATATTACTTAGGGATGGTTTGCCTTGCACTGAGACTCCCTCTATAAAGGAATACATGAAGAAAACCAACTTTTCTAAGAAAGACATGAAAGTTAACATCTTGTGTATTTTCATTATAGTACTATATATATACATATATAAACTATTTCGATGAGAAGAAAGGACAGAATCATCTGTAATTATGTAATTCATGATTGTAACAGCACTGAAGTTAACATGTACACATATGTACAGTAGCTATTTCAACAGTTACAGTGTAGTTACATGTACTTCCCTGTAACATAGCAGTTATAGTGTAATTTAGTGCCACTTATTGTAAAGTGTTACCAAAAGGATAATGGAGTTCTTACCTTTACGATTCCATTCAAATTAAAGGTAAGTTTATTAAATTAGCACTGTAAATCTGGTATTCCATTTCTTGATTAAGGAGGTGATGTAAAACTTCATGTTCACACTGYAACTTTCCCCACCGCTTATCCAGACTCCTCCAAGTGTCCAATCTCTACAGTCCTGGGAACTGGTAATCTGTGATGAGCATACCAAAAATCCAGCTGCTTCAACTCAAATTGAATAAGCTGTCTAATGGAGAAAAACAGACAAACAAACAAACAAACAAACAAATATGAGTAATGCTTTTTATTAAGTGGCACAAAGTACACACTAAAAACTATGCAAAAATATAGGTAAATACAGTGTACTTACATGTAAGTATCTTGTACTTGCTGTGTATGGATATTGGAAAAGCATGTAATTATAATATGCATTTTGATTTTTTTTCAAGAAGCGGATGACCCCTGACAATCACAAGGAGTAACTGAAAGGTACATTTACATGCAGTGGGTATCCTAATGCAATATGTGTAATTCCTCTACTTGCAATGGTAGCTAATTTATAAAAATGCTTATACCATTCCTCATTCTTGCTTGCTCTGCTTTCCCTCTCTTTGGGGCCCATTAAATAACACTGAAACACCTTTAGGCGAAGTGAGGCAGTGGCTCTGCTAATGGCTTTGCTGCCAGCATTCTGTGCATCTGGCAACATCGCTCAGTAATCTATTTCTGGCTCAACAGCACAAGATTCCTCTTCCTTCTGCCCTCAAGGGAGCTTAGTATGTTAAGATGCTGAAATACATCGCCATATGCCCCAATATTTTCAGTAGGAGCAACAGAGAAGGCGGGAGAACTGCATTCTCCTGACCCCTCTTTTGCTGAATCACCTCACCTGGAATTTCCTCTACTTGCACAATAATGCCAGATAATCTTAAGTTGTGAGTACAAAATGCTTCCATCAAGTACAGGGGATGCCTTTAATGATAAAATTAAATTTTTGTAAATGTGAAGGTTTTGTATTACTGATCTTTTTACTTCTTGCTACTTTTACTTCATACCCTTCCAGAAGGAATGCATTGAAAGATAACACAGAATAGCAAAAGAAGAGAAGGAATATGGTTAGCTGGAATATTGTAAGCCTTTTTGTGGCTGCCATTGCTATAACCTTCCTTTGTGTCCTATGAATAACAGGCAAATAGATGTATTTAGTAGTTAACATCATTCCACACTATACTATTCCTACAGTATGGCATCTACCTCTTAGTCTAAATAATAGCTATGAGATATTTATATACATTTTGGATTACTACTTGATCTTTGATGTAGTCTAGAAATTGGTTCACTGTAATCTTTTTTTGTTTGTTTGTTTGTTTAAAATAGAAAAAAATACTGCCTGGATTCATAAACCTTTCCCCATTCTTTACCAACTTCAGAATAGTTTGAGCTCATAATGGGGACATGGGGACACAGCCTCAGCTGGTATAAATCAGCTTCACTCTATTGCCTTAAATGTGGGCCAATTTACACTGGCTGGGGATCCATCCTACACAGATGAATAATAAACAGCTGTAGCATGTCACTATTTAGTCAGTGCTAGATAATGGCATGCAATCCAACTGCAACACAATGCTTTCCAATAAAAGGCATGCAGGTTTGAAAAGCAACTTTTAAAAGCACATGCAAGCTTTTGAATTAAATATGCAATACAAACACTGTTGGGATACTCTAATATATCTCTTACATATTTAAACATAATATTGTCAGGGCATGTTTACATTAAAAGCCCTCAATGTATAGGCAGAGATGGAAGGACTACTGCAAACAAAAAGAAAATGGGTAGTGCAGCTTTTCAAGTGAACACAGCAGAGTAGAAGCTCCCATCAAGAGCAGGTCTTCATACACGACTTTTTGGAGCGGATCTGATTTAGTACTGCTAAAGGAAAATGAGAGTTGTCTTCTTAGCGTTAACATAAGCTAGCACAGTTCCTTCCTGCTGTCAGTGGATCAAACCCAGCACTCTGCACTAGTTGTAACTCAGGAGGAAATAAGGGTACAAACATGGTTTAACAGCACACGTATCATTCCACATTCTCAGGCTGCTCTAAGCTTTGTGCACTTCCAGCAGCCGTTGAGGGAATTCTTCCAGCATCTAGGAACCGTCTTTTTGCCAAACTATGCTCATTTTCCTCAGCTATGTTTAATGTACTCTCACCCAGATGGAGCTTGGTGTAGAGCTAGTACAATGGCTCTACAATAGTAAGGGATTCCTGAAATGTGGCAAAGAGCTTTCCAGTGGCTCACTCAAAAATTCCTCATGGCTTCTGTGTTTGCTGTAGATCTGCCCTGCATGTTCTGTCTCTCAAGTCTGTTATTCTCTGTTGGGCTAAAAGCAGCAGTCCAACTGGAAAGGAGATAGAAGAAAAGTCTGTCCTCCACAAGGAGTAGTCTCTGTTATTATAAAAGATGTTTTATTTCATCTTCTCCTTTTTTTTTTTTTTTTTTAAGATTTCAGGTGCAAAGCTAAGCCTGATGGGGTCAGCACTTCAGCACTTCCCCTGTGTTCAAGGTCAAGCCAGCAGTGTTTCCCGTGTGAGCTCTGATCTCACCTTTCAGCACAAACTACAGATAGCCTTACCCTGCCCTTATGATAGTGCTGAAAAACACCAATGCTTTTTTGGTCTGAACACATTCATTCTCTTAAGCCTTGTTCTACAAGGAAATCATTAAAGGGTTTTCATAATAGGATCTAAAGGAGATTTTTAAAGTTAAAACTTTTAAAGCAAATAAAAGTTATGATCATTGACCATTTGCGTTGATTATGAAGAGAAAGAAAACCTTTAATTGTTGGGCTGCATTCTTTATCACTTCCCCCCTTTCCCTCTTTTCTGTGCATATTTCTTTGTGTTAGTAAATACACAGTTGCACATACTGCCCTTTTTTCAATGAAAACAGATTTCCTTATACGTCTATAGAGTTTCCATAGAAATATGCAAATATTGCCTACAGTCATCTTGCTTCTGCCTAAATAGTGAGCCAAGAGAGTGAACTCCTGGATTACTGGATACGTATATGTCTTTCTTCCATAAAAGTGTATACAATACGCCTACTGATTTCAAAAGAGCAAGGCTCAAGTCCTTACTGCACATCTGAGTTGCTATTTAGTTCTTTTCCAACAGAATAATAAAGCTTTCCTTGTGTATCCTGTACTTTTAGCCTAGATATTTTATAACTGCAAAAAACCTTCAGTCCGGCAGGAAGTTTCCTAGAACAAATAATACAGCATAATTTGTAAAAGGACTATAACAGCCTCATCTATTCATAGTCAGTGTAAGTGCTTTCTCCTAGGAACTCTAATGTACTCTCCTTTTACACTGGCAATTCATAGTCTTTGGAAGGATATTTTAGAATATTTCAGAAATACAACCACCAACCTGTAAACAAAATCAACGGGAATTAAACATATTGCACTACTGATGGAGATACATTCACTTCATTTAATTTCCTCATTAGTAACTCTAAGCAGACAAAATGCATATTGTAATGTTAGGTACATGACACTTGCATGTTGCTATGCCTATATACTTACAAAGTATTCAATGTGTACTTAGTGGCGCTTAAAAAATGTCATGTACAATTCTTCTAAACATTCTTACAGGGTTCCCATTTGCACTTCATCTTCCAGAAAAGTCTTGTCAGAAAAATGTCTGATGAATATTATTGAAAAAAAATAAAATTTCAATTTTAGTTATCTGTTGGACATTTCTGAATTGTCTATTCATTTAATATATCTCTTGATGCTTGCCAATTTGGCAGTGGAGTTGATTTAGACCAGTGGCTGTACTGCAGACTGTTCAATAAGCTCATTTTGATGTTCCTAATAGAATTGTTATAATCATATTCTGTTGCTCTAAATATTACTTCTGAGATTATAAACAATTATCTAAGAAAAAAAAACTGTGAGACTGCTATTTTACAAATATTAACTAAAAATATTTTATTCAATGCTTATAGACATTTAATGTGTATTGCTTTGTTTTGACTGACAAGGGGAGTAACAACTTAGGGAAGCTGTCCTCACTGTAGGTGAAATTCATCCTTGTGAAGAGGTCAAGTGTTGAAAAAGCATTTAAACCTGTGGGACTTAAATGGTGGCTTAGCCCAGTATGAAGGATCTGGAGAATTCATGCAAGGTTTTCTGTATTACTTATCATGCTTCAACTGATGCTAAGGACAAGAAAGCCACAGGGTCAAAAGAAAGAAGAGAAATGTCCTGGGGAAGAGGAAACTCTKAGAGGGTTCATATTTGTGAGAAAGAAACAAGTTCCAGACGCAGAGAGAGACACTGACAGAATTTAGTACCTATTTGCAGAGAGTATCTCGGTGCATCCCTGATGAAAGATATTTCCTGTAACATGAACTAAGAACACATTCAACAAATGTGCATTTCCTTTCACCAAATCAAAATATTTCTTAAGTAATTTAAAATGCACATTTTAAACATAGGAACTATGCAATATTCTAAGTGATCTTCTAAGTCATATGTTCATGAGGTAGGGCAAAACAACCTGAAAATCTASCATGTGCTTAGAGGAAAGAATGGAATTCCCAACTGCCTTTCTAATTTTCCTGTGTTCAAATTGTAATTCCTTTTAACAATTTTATCTTCATCAACCAAAGTTTTCCAAAAGGTAACTGTACTTTGCTGTGTACCTTTCACTGTCTGAAAGCAGATCTTTTACAATTCCTACCCTAACGTAGTATTGCCATTATATGTTTCTTTAAAAAAAAAATAGAAAAAAAAAATCTGTAAATGGCTGTAAGAGATCTCTTTCATCAACAGCCAACAAAATTTGCCTCCCCCTTACCTATCCACAGTATTGGAAGATAACAGTTGCTTTTTGCCTCTTATTTGCAATTGGAAAGCTGCAAAGAAAACCAACAATTTTTATTAACAACTGTAAAGCCTGCCTGTAATTTCAATTGTATYTTATACAAACTCCAGACCAGTCACATTTATAGCATTATATACACAGAGATGAACAAGAGTCTATTTACCTCACTTAATAGTTATCAAGCACCCATGTGAAGATATATACACTTTTTCAAGGACAATGTTATAAAGCAGCCATTGGCCAGGCTCTGCTAGWAAGAGTAAGGCAAAGGTAAGTGCCATCAGTGAAATATTGAGCTGATCATCAAGTGAAGATAATGAAGATAATTCCTTGATCAACAAACGAGTCATGCTGCATTGCCTTGCAGTTCTGCTTCGAGCACTTGGCAGCATTCAGAGCCACCGGAGGGCACTTTTGATAAGCTCTGGGCTACTTAGCCTACCCCAGCACTTGCTCCCGCTGAGTTAGTAGCAATAGCTTCTCTGCTGCTTGGGATTGAGGCGAGGGCCTTGTTGATTCTGCAAGCCGCACGGGGTTAAAAAAWATATATATACATGAAGCCTTTTCTAGCAAGCCAGAAAGAGCCCTYGAGGTTCTTCTGTGGCAACTTGCAGGAAATTCACATTCATGTCAGCTGGTGAGGATAGTGACTATCCTGGCTTGGTGTGTTGCTGAGGGGGATCTTATACCAAGCCAAAATTATACCAACCGGCTTCGTGAAATGGGGAGGGAGCAGCGAGAGGAAAAAAGCTGTGCCCATGCCAGGAACACAGGTTAAAGGTCTGTGCCTCTCCACGTGTAGGACCAAAGGGGAGTGCTGCAGTCTCTTGAGCTTCATTTCCATCCCAAGCTTCACAACAGCTACAGGAGGTACAAAGAAAGGGAGACTGGAGTCCACCCAGAAGAGTCACAGAGCTAYTGAGCAGCAAGAAATGCTGTTCACAACACTGCTGCTAGGACCTAGCAAAYGGGCAGTGCTTCTCATATTGCGATACTTTGACTTAATTGGACTTACAGAGGGATAGGAAGATATATGAGATAAAGAAGAAGGAGAAAAAAAAATCACAGTTTGGACCTGGGCAGATAAAGTTGAGTAGAAAGTAAAAGAAASAAGAATGGAAAATATACCTTTTGTAAGAGCATCTTGCTTATTATCAGAGCAGTAGCCAGCTCTGTCTGAGGAAAAAGCAAATGTTCCTCATAATTCTGTAATGGTTTTACTGCATTTTTACACTTTCTGGAGCATCAAATGTCCATGACAGAAACAGAAAATGTGTATAMTCTGCTGTGATCAAGTTAAAGCACATCATTATTTGGCACTCACTAACATAATATCAGATTAGCCTCCTGAATAGCAGTAAGCAACATGAGTAACAGCTGTCATATTTATTTTCTCATCCACTCTCCATGGGGGAGTGTATGTGTGCAGTGAAGCCTTCTGTTTCATTAATTAATTTATTTTTATATTTCCTCTAAGTTTATACTAGAGGTGTAGTTTAAAAAATATTTTCTGCTTGGAGAATAAAACAGTAYGGTTGGTTTTATGGTCCCAAGTTCCTGTGAGATTTAATGCTTCAGTATTAGAAAGCTCTGGTTGGAAAGCTTTCATTATGGTGGAGGAATAAAGTTATTGACAGTTCTCCAAATGTAAGAGCTCTAGGGAGTCTTCCAGCTATTCCCAGATATGGCCTTTGAAGGCCTCGAAAATAAAGTGCATGACCTTCAACTAAATTTCAAAAACTTCAGGAATCCACCGTAGACTGTGTGGAGCGGGATGAGCTTGAGAACTCACTGAGAACATGTGGACAGGTTTTGCGCTCCTTAGAGGTTATCAYAGCATGTTCTTCACGGCCAGTATAGCACTGCTGTAGGCCACCTGAGATCAGAGAGCTGCTGCCACCAGCTTCAAATGGCTTAGTTGCCCAGTGTGGTAAAAGCAATCGTCATCGTGGCTCTGCAGAAGGGCAATTATATTCTTGTTAGGCCAGTCCTGTGTCAGTTGGAGGCCCAGTTTTGGTATTCCACAGAGTCAGACCCGTTCTTATTGACTGGACTCCTCTGAGATCGATGTCTGCTTCATGCAGCCTGCGTGGGAATCCTGAACAGCTGCACAGCACCCGCTGTCCATGTGTGGAAGGTGAATAGGATCTATGAGATGATTAATCTGGGGGACTGGACAGTTGGATGTTAGAGGTACAATATCCCATAACTGCCTCTTAAGTGTATCATGCCAGGAAAGCCTGAGGTTAGCACACTCTGTTTTTACAGAAACACTTAGGTAGCACATGAAATCCTCTTTGAAACTGAGACTTTTTCATTACCCAGAAGCAAAGAGAGTCATGGCATCATTGCAGAGACTCTCAATTTTACATCTTCTCTTCCTACTTGTGTCTAAGAGAGTCTAAATAGCCTATTCACGTTTCMTATATCCCAAGATACCAAAAAAAGGAATGCAGTGTCTTATTCTCATTCCGCAGGAAATTAACATTGGGCTATAATTTGGAGTTCTCTTTTTCAAGTTGTATGAACTCACACACAGGCACATAGACACATGTGCACACACAATTGCAAACGCAATACATGTGTGATGTGTTTTTCTACATGTCCTTCTTACTCCAATAGCTCTTTTCTGCCTGCTTTAATACTCTCAAGCACAGTATTTTTTTTTCTAACCATAGTCTCCTAGAGCACACCTTTCCCTCTTTCATGTTGATTTTACCTTGTACAGCTGCAACTGATGCTTTTCTGTGATGCAGGTAAACTAACTCTCTAGGTTTACTCACTGGTTGACAAAGGTGTATGAAGGATTGTTAACCAAAGGCATGTGCAGGGTTTCTAATKGACTCCGATATATAAAAGAGAGGGAAGGGAGTGGTTTTGATTTTCCCACTGCGCTCAGTACAGCTAATCCATATGTGTTCAAGTGGGATGAGATGTAACATCGGGCCCTGGAGCTGCTGGTTGCTTCTCTCAAGCTGGGAAGGAAGTTGCTGGTTGTGCCACCGCTCCCTGACTCCACTGCTGATCAGCTGAGCATGTGTGTCAGTGGGAGCACCACATTAGCGTATTATTTGACCRGTGAATCACATACGTTTCTCTACCAGGATCATTCTAGTATGCTGGAAAATCCATTATTTCTTCCAGATTGAGAGGGAATTAGTGTAGCTAGTTTCAATTTACTTGGGTTATGAAACCTAAGTTTTCACTTTGGAAGTGAACCAAGATTATCCTGCTTTGCTATGAGACAAAAACAAACACAGTATTTTGCAGTAATGCTCAAAGCTATTAAATACCTGTTCCTGTAAGGAACTGAGCTTAGGAGAAAGAGAAGTATAGAGGCTGGATGCGCTCGGGAAACACAGGAAATTTGACAAAAGTGGGAAAAATAAAAGTGAGGAAATGTTGCCCCCCATGAGTCTTGTTCCCAGCTGAAGAAAGGGCAAGTAGCCACAGATTCAGGTAAGAAAGCAAAAAACTGCTAAGGACTTGGGGAAGGAATAGAAAATTTCAAAGCAAGGGCAGAGAGGGGAAAAGGCCTCTGAAAAAGAAGGTGCTGGCAGACTGACAGTGTCATTCAGTGCACCTAATGGATCATAGGGCTCCCAGGCTGGYATTGAGAAGGCTTCACAGCAGGTTTCTGAGAGAAGGACTTGCCCTGCCAGCTGCACACAGCCTCCAAATGGGTCAAAGGGTGCTCCTAAAAACACACGTGGCAGGAGGTACCCCAAGAGAAGGCAAGTCAGCTATGGGCATCACCTTCAGCCTGAAACTTGTAGGGACAAGAGAGCTTAAGCTCCGAGGTTGCTGCTGCCTGAAGAGACTCTCCTACCCCTGGCTAACTGTAAAATGATGAGACTGTCACACAGATTCACACAGAATATTTAAGGTTGGAAGGGACCTCTACAGATCATCTAGTCCAACCTTCCTGCTCAAGCA